TTAATAATTATCCATGCAGTTTGATTGCGGAGCCTCGTGTTGATTTCATACTCTAATTTAGGGCTGAAAATTACTTGACCCGCTTCAGACCCTGTCCTGTGTTTCACCCGTACTTGAAGGGTTAAGATGTATAACTGATTTGACCTACCTTTATTTCCTTCTTAGTCCTGTCTAACCTTCTAGGATCGGATCAGTGGGTCGATCCTTATCAACACACTGATTTTTTACAAATTATGTTTAGGTACTCAAAATTATTTTTCTTACAATTTAGTACCTATTTTCTTGCAAATAAGTTCTTCAATTTTGATGTTAAAATTACATTTTGGTACCCAAATTTTTTTTACAATTTAGTACCTGCACTTTTAAAATTCTAAAAATAGGTCAAATGTGTTGGTATGTGTAATTTCATATATAAGGGTCACCGGGTCAAAAAAATGACCCAAACCTAAACTGACTTGACTCTACCCGATCCTTACATGGTCAAAAGATTCCCTGACTCTAAATTGACCCTTAGATAAACTTATCGAACACAATCCTCAGCGTCGGGCGGGTCAGTGGGTTTTTAGAGTCAAGTTTACAACCCTACACTAATTATATATTTTTGTACGTACTTAGTTCCACGTCCAGGTGTTTTGACCTTAATTTGACTTAATAGTTTATACAATTCGAGATCCTCGAAAAAAAATACGCAAAAACGATGCATTTCCATTGATATCACTTTCAAGTGTTGGTTGGAAGCTAGTCAACGTCTTCCGTGGCGCCAATTTTGGTGCGATCATGGCTAACGAAAACAAACCTAAAATATATACGTGAACGTGACCACAAAAAGGGACTAGCTATCAATCCTAACTTTTACTACCAACTCCAAATGGGAAAACCTGAATTCCGAATTTCCACGTAGCACCACTTGTAAAGGGCTGAGAGTGCCTACGTGTCATTCCACTATTGCCAAACGCGGCTCTGGCTTCCAAAATTCTGGACCATTGAGAGCGAGGAGAGAGAGAACCCTACGCTTTCTCGGTCAGCTTGTTTATAGAGGATTAGAGCATCTCCAATGGTGCAAATGGAGGGAATTGCAAGCTGAGGTGGCAGCCATGTGCAATTGAAAAAGTGGATGGCATTGATGCAAGACCACTTTCAAGGGATGAAAATTTGCACACCATGAAAATCTGACATGCAATTGCAAGTGGGTCCTTTGTTTGTTTTTGTTTTTCTTTCTTCTTTTCCCAACCATTTGTGTGGTATTAAAATGTAAGTGGGACCCAGAAGTGCAATTGCATTGGAATGGCATTGATGTAGCTAGTATGAAATTGATGAGTGAAGTAATTGCTAGAGTTGCTTAGGTGGCAGTAGGGACCACACTTGAAAGTGAAGAATGATTGCATTGTTGGAGATGCTCTTAGTGTCTTGTGGACGGGCGGCTTGACCTGATTCTGTCTCAGCCACGTGTATGAAAAAGAAAGAGATAAATGGAAATACAGAGCAAGAAAGGGACAGCCAGCGATGACTTTTGTTGTTGGCAATATTTTTTACTACTCAGTTGGATCCAATTAGTCCGAGGCCTTTTGGGAAGTCACCCAAGAGTAAAATTGTGTGAACTTGATCTAAAGTGGATAATATCGTACTAATTGAGCTGTTCAATTATGACAAGTGGTATCAGAGTCTAGTTTGGTTTGGGACAGTGGACGTCAGTTTCGTGTAGTGGCGGACCCAGAAATTTTACATAGGGGTTTCCTCTTTTAAAAAATTAAAAATTAATAAAAATTAAATCATTCTTAAATAAGAAAATACTTGACTCGTACGAAGTTAAAAAAATCCCACGATGTGTTTTCATATTCGAAAATAATTGTAAAATATACTTGGTGTCTACACTGCTCAAATTATTGTCTATGTATATCCTACCAGACAATCATTCACGAATCGATCACAGATTCAATTCTTAAACTTGTTATTGATGTAACCCAAAGTTAAAAAGACTTTTTCAACACATAAAATAATCAATAAAAATTAAAGATAGCTTGAAATTAGTTTGATTGTTAGATTTTGAAAATAATTAGAGATAACAAATGTCATTTTACTATTACACTGTGTTTAAAATCGAACAACAAATGAGTTGTAACCTAATGAAAATTACGTTTATCAATAATAATAGTGTTCTAGGTGCGAATTACCCAAACTACCTATATTCTCATACACAATTAAAAAATGAGAGTAGGATAATCACTTTTTCAAATTTCAGGGGTGTCCCCCACTATCAATTATAATTTTTTTTATACGCAAATTATCACTAAGGGTTCGATAATCATTTTCCCAAAATTTAGGGGTGTCCCGGGACACCCCCAAACTTCCCTGGGTCCGCCCCTGGTTTCGTTGACCCTCATTCGGTGACCTCGAGAATTGAGATCCGCGTGTGGTTGGTTGGGTTAGCGGATCAAGGGAGGTCCGCGTCTGCTTCGGATCAAGATAATCTTTGAAGAGAGGACACGAAGTTCGTGATCCTTGTCTTGAGGAGATTATTGTTATGAAACAATATGCGTTTGGAAAAATCCTTGTACCGAGAAGCTCATCGATACAAGGTGTCTGACGGATCAAGATAATCGCTGAGGAGAGGACACAAAGTTCGTGATCCTTTTCTTGAGGGGATGATTGTTATGAGGGGAGGATTGTTATGAGACGATCCAAATACATAATCGGAAATACAAGGGAAGGAACCCTTGTATTGTTTTTCCTAAAAAAGAGGACCTTATAGCTAGGGTGAGAAGCGAGCTGAGCTGCCACAGATCGCTTCGATTGCTTGAAACCTATTGGCTAAAAGTGAAACATGAAGTATAATGTGAATATATTCTAAATGAAATAATAGTTGGAATCATGTAAGATATATTCGATATTAGAGTGAAAACATGAGAAAGACTAGAGATCCAGTCGGAGGATGCTTTTATTGGAACTATGTTTCTGTTTATTTTTGTTGTAACTTATATGCTCTTCTATATTCCCACAACCAACTCCAATTCTTTTACCTATTAACATTTTAGAAGATTTCACAAAACCTTTATCACTTAGTGTTTTACTTTTCGTAAATATTATAGCGGATGAATTAGTAGTTGTTGCTCTTGTTTATTTAGTACCTTCGGTGGTTCCTATATCTATCATGTTCCTTGGATTATCTACAAGCGGTAGTCAAGCTCTTATTCTTGCAACTTTAGCAGCGGCTTTATATAGATGAATCCATGGAAGGACATCATTGATGAATTTTCAAAAAATTATTTTTTTATGCTTTCATGTGCGATAAAGTTAGCTATTGGGAACCTAGTTCACCAACGGCATTTCTTTATCATAGTTGGTGGAGATAAATCCCGGAAAACGAAAAACTAATGAACATGAACCCCATCCATAGAAGTCAATCTGAGTGGTTCCCTTCCGGACGAAAAGTAGCATCTGCGGATGAAAGAGTGGACGAGCTTCCTGTCAATTACATCGTGTTGGCCGATAACTCGAAGGTATTCGCTCATTGATGGTAGTTTACTGATTGGATTTTGTGGAACAATCCCATCCTTTGAAGTACTTGTGGAGAATCCACACCAGTAAGAAATAGCTTTAGTTGGTGATGGAAGTGACCTATTACATAACTTTGCCCTTTTTCTTTTATAAGTGTCCGCCAAGTCCATTAGTACGAGGCCTTTTGGGGATGATACACAAGTTTAAAACCATACGTGCTTGTCCCAAAGTGGACAATATCGTACTAATGGAGCTATCGGCCGGTTTCGACAAGTAGTATCAGATCCTGGTTCAGTTCCGGGCAATGGACGTTAGTTTGGTGGGACCCTCATTTGGTGACCTCAGGATTTGAGATCTACATCTGTTTGGCTGATCAAAGAGAGTTTCGCGTTTGGTGGATCAAGGAGAGATCCACGTTTTCCTGGGTTGGTGGATCAAGGGAGGTTTGCGTCTAGGAAGCATATCAAAGAGAGTTCTACGTCTGGGGAAAATTCTTGTACCGAGAAGCCCATAGATACAAGGTGTCTGGCGGATCAAGATAATGGTTGAGGAGAGGACACGAAGTTCGTGTTCCTTGTATTGAGGGGGAGGATTGTTATGACACAATCCAAGTACCACATCGGAAACACAAGGGAAGGAACCCTTGTATATTAGTGTCCACCTAGCTCACTAGTACGAGGCCTTTTGGGGATGATACCAAAGAGTAAAACCATGCGGACTTGGCCAAAAGCGGACAATATCGTACTAATAGAGCTATCCGATTTTGACACATACTATGTACATCGACTAAATATTATTTACGTAGCTTTCATATGTATAGCATCAAAATTAGGGGTGAAAATTGATGTGGGTTGTGTTATCCGTCACATAATAGTTAAAGTGATATATTAAATGATAATGCAAGTCTAGAAATTATTGAATTGTCACGATAATTTTTCTCGTAACACTAATCACTACTTATCTGGCGAAGTCAAAAGATCAAAATAAGTGTATCCTTTTATATAAGGCAAAATTCATATGTATAGCCAAAACTATGACGTTTGTTACAATAATAGCCACTTTTGGAGAAATACCAATAATAGTCAGAATTTTGAATGTTTGATGACAAATATAGTCATTTCCGTTATATAATTTGACGGCATCAATGACACCGTTAGTTAAATTAACGGAATACTTACGTGGCTGCCAACTCACCCTCTCTTTTGTTTCCACCTCAGCCTTCAATGATAGTGGATGACAGGTCATATTAAAATTTTATTTTCTTAGCAAATCATTTTTTTTAAATTTATTCTCATCTTCTCTTTCCCTGACTTCATCTTCTCCAATTGAATCTCTTCCCATCTCCTTGTTCACTAGACTTCTCCCCCGATTCCCCCAGAATAATAACTACCAGCGAAGACTCACACCAGCTATGACCACACACACACACACTCAATCGGGAATAAAGAATTGGATGAAGCTATCAATTGGATATTAGGGATTTGATGTAACCCAGAACGGTGAAGATGAAATGTTGTCTGATGTTCGCCTCCCTGCCTCGCACCCAGCTGCCTCTGTTGCTGATGATGGATATTGAAACGAGGAAGATAGCGACGTTTTCTTCCGCATCCGCTAGTGAAACCGGATCCGTCGACCCCATGGCGGTGTCGAAAGCAGAAGAGGTGATTGATTCTCTTTCCCTGTCGTCTGGCGCTCGATTCTCCTTCGCTGCTATCTGACTGGGCCCTACATTTGAGGCATCGAGGAAGAATCACGACCTGGCAGCGTTGAGGGAGAGATGCGGCATGGAATCTCTAATCCCTCCTCCCGCAGCAGTTCGCGGCTTTCAATTACGCAAATCCCTAATTCCTCCTTCACCAGAAATCTCTAATATCTCATACCTCGCAGTAGTTCACCACTTTAGATTCCACCTAAAGGCTTCTCCATCTCTATGTTGTTGTCGGTGGCGAGACAACCGATGCGGGAGAAGAGGTTGACGGTGGCTAGTGGTTAAGAATGAGATGGCATATTCGACGATATGCCGATGGGAGTGAGAGAGGGAATCGCCACATTGATTAGGCTGCGAGACCTAGCAACCGATGACATAGGGAGAAGCACTAATGTAAGGTTACAAAACTGTGGTGGTGGTATCGACGACGGTGAACTTCTAGGAAGAAGTTTCTGGGAGCTTTATTGTTGAAGGTGAACAGGCGATGGTGGTATAGTATTGATGAAGGGAACAGGCGGTGGTGGTGGAGAGTTATTGTTTTTATTGTTCTTTTATTTTTTATTTGATTTGATTAAAATAAAAGGATATAATTTTGATTATTTTCCACTTAATATTATTTTTAATAAAATATGTCACGTCCACCGCTGTTGTTAGTCTAGTCAACACGTTAACTCACACCGTTAAATAATTGGACGAAAATGGCTATTTTTTGTATTTCGTCAAAAGTGGCTATATTTGGCTAAACAGTCAAAGTTTTGGCTACACAAGTGTATTTTACCTTTATATAATATGAATATATGAACAAATATACAAGTAATTGATTGACAAAAAAAAATCTATTAATACAAGTTTCCTTTTGTAGAAAATTATAAATCGAGAACACAAACACAAGGATTTTACGTGGTTTCCTCATTCAATTTGAACGAGACTAGTACACGGAGAACGTGAGTTCTCAGGTTTTCTTATTGATAATGATTTCTAGAGTTAGGGTTTGGCTGAAACAAACCCTTACACCAAATAGAGAGTCGTTCTCGTACAACAAGTAACTAGAGGACTATCACATTACATTACGACTCCTAATCTTACTAAAAGTGACAAACAAGTAAGAAACGAATCGTAATACTCCCCCTCAAGAGAAGCAGTGAATATCCAGCAGACCGAGCTTGACCAGGAGATGATGAAACTGATCGGAGCTCAATCCCTTGGTAAAGATATCAGCAAGCTGCTCAGAAGTAGCTATTTTGAGAGGAAGAACATCACGAGGCTGAGCGCTCTCCCGAACAAAGTAGCAATCCATCTCGACATGCTTAGTGCGCTCATTGAAAACCGGATTAGCTGCAATGTGGAGGGCAACCTGGTTTTCATAATATAAGGGAGTCGGACATGTATGATGAACATCGAGATCACAGAGCAACCAATGCAACCAAAGAACCTCATTTACAGTAGTAGCAATGACGCGATACTCAGCCTCGGTAGATGAGCGAGTCACAACAGACTGCTTCTTAGTCAGCCAAGAAATGTGAGAAGAACCCAGAGTAATGAAATACCCGATAGTGGGGCGACGAGTGGTGGGGAAACTAGACCAATTCGGCTCATCAACAAAAATGACTACGACGACAAATGCATGATAAGACTGAGATAGGCTACTTTAAGTGAGATAATCCTCCAAAGGATACTCGACTTCAACCGTATCAGCAAACCCGGGCAAGTTAATATCATAACTAGCCAGTCGTGTACGTAGAGGGCTACCGAGTGAGGTCACTACGACGGGGAGGAGCTGGTGGAGTATTATCAGGGGCAATAGTAGGAGGCGTAGCAAGGCGAGGTGAATGATCAGATGTTGCGGAAGATGAAGAAGAGGAAGGGCAGATCGTTGAGGGAGTGGAGGTACCACTTGTTCAGCTAATGAAGCATCAGGTGGTGAGGTGGACGTGGTGGAGTGAATGGGGGTGAAGGAGCTGGACACGTACCTGTACGTGGGCACCGGGCCGTGCCGGCCACGGGCTAGCACGACACAGCACGGTTAGAGCACGACACGAGCACGAATAATTTATGGGCCGTGTCAGGCCTAAACTTCATGAGCACGGGCATGACACGGTATATAAGTTGGCCGTGTCAGGCCTAATATTTTCGAGACTTTATTGAGTATACGAACTGACATGACACAAAAGTACTATCTATTTGATAGAAAATAAATATAAAAAGAATTATATGTTCAAATATTACAAATTACAAGTAGAAAAATAATTATTTGTTGTTGTTAGAAGTGTCATAAAGATATATACGTACTTACTACCATAAGTAAAATTGGACGAAGAATTAAACAAAGCCAAATCACACTCGCTATACTTCCAATTTTCTTTTCCCCCTTATTTGTTACTTTTCTCAAACATTATCGATTAATACTATCTTTCTCCGTCCAATTTTCACCTTTTTTATTCTCTCTTTTGTTTTCGTCCTTTTCATTAAACACGAATACGAGCATGGCACGAGCACGAATAGGCACGACACGTTTCGAACCGTGCCCGAGCCTGGGCCGGGCCTAGCAAAGTTAACAAATGGGCTTACATGGCACGACACGAAAACTGACAGGCCGTGCCAAGCACGACACGAAATAAATGGGACCGAAGCGTGCCCGTGCCGTGCCGGCCCAGCGCCCATGTACACACGTACCACTCAGAGAAGGAGACGAGGAGGTCACGTCCAGTGGAGGAGCGATGGAATCATCCACCCATGCAGGAGGAACAATGGGCAAGGACGAGGAACCATGATTATCATGAGCATAAAACAAACATCCAAAGTTGTGCATATGGTTAAGAGGGGTCCTTGCCAAACATAACCTGATAAGGAGAACGATTACCAATCGGAGTAAGAGGTAAACGATTGAGGAGATAAGTTGCAGTAAGAAAACACTTCGCCCGAAATTTCACAGGTAAGTTACCGTTCAATCGTAAAGCTCGAGCTGTCTCCAAGAGATGGTGATGTTTTTGAACAACTACGTCATTCTGCTGCCGTGTGTTAGTGCAAGAAGTTTGGAGAATGATGCCAGTCTGTTCATAATAGTCGTGCAACTCATTTGTTGCAAACTTTGGGCCATTATCCGCTAGACTACGACGCACCTGTTTATAAAACTGAGTGTTGACATGCGACAAAAATACAACGTCCAACTTCATACTTAAACTTCATTAAGAAAACCCAGCCTAAATGACGTCCAACTTCATACTTAAACTTCGTTAAGAAAACCCAGCCTACACGACAATAATCATCCACGATTATAAAAAATAACGAGCTCCAGCAAAAGGAATCTGTTAACCTCCCCAAATATCAACATGTATCAGCTCAAAACAATCTAGAGTAGTAATCGAGTTGGAAGGAAAAGAATCACGAGCCTATTTAGCTCGAAAACAAGAAGGGTAAATACAATTTAATATCCAAACCTTTCATTTTAAACAAAATAATAGCCAAACCTTTTCGAAAACAATCTAATATCCAAATCGTCAACTTTCCGTCCGTTTGACCGTTGGTTGACAGTTCAAAAAAGCTTTGTTTATGGGAAATTGTCACAATACAACTTTGTTTTCTTGTTTTGGCATTGCAGATGACTGAATATTTAGATATTCTATACCATCATGGTGGAGTCATGAACTTCTCGGGTTTGGAACCACGATATGTTGGTAGTTTTTCAGAGAAGATATCGATGGATATTGATGAAACGTCGTACTTCGAACTTTTTTGAAGTGTCAACTAACGGTCCAACGAACGGAAAGTTGACGATTTGGATATTAGATTGTTTTCGAAAAGGTTTGGCTATTATATTGTTTAAAATGAAAGATTTGGATATTAAATTGTATTTACCCAAACAAGAATGACAAGAATTCTTGTGCTGGATTATTGGACTAGAGATGAATTGTTGAAGAACGGATAACTTGGCCAAGGAAGGATGACTCAGACGAGCATGCCACAATGTAGAACTATCCACTACTTGACGAACAGAATGTGACACCAAATGCCGCTCATCAAGCAGTTGTAGATAATAGAGTCCATCAACATGCTTACCTATCCTAATCACCCTTTTGGAGGGTAAGTCCTGGACAACACATGATGCGATATCGATTAGCATGATATTTAATTTATGTGGTTCAAAAATGAAGATTCGAATACGAAGATATAAGAATCAATTGAGAGTATTTTTAATGGATAGGAGGATGATTGTAGCTATTGCTCGTTATGCCGCTCTCGTGATGGTGCATGAGAGGATTAATGCATGGAATAGGAAATTTTCATGTTCAAAATTGAAGAAGGATTTGTTTCTTCTTTTACAAATGAAGGCCACGTGAGTTGTTGAAGGAGGCTGATAATGTGGAGTTTAATTTGTTTAAATTAGTTGTTTTGGTTATTTTGGGTTTAATTATTAGTTTTAGTTCTTATTTAATTAGTATTTTGTTTTATACTTAGTTTGTGATTTGTTTTTCTATTCTTTTTAGGTTAGATTTATGTTTTGAGACCATTATAAATAGAGGGTGTAAGATCTACGAATTTGGTATACCCAGTAAGACTATTATTATTGAATTTCAGAAAGCTTTTGCTTGTTTCATTTTTGGATTTTTTTCTAAATATGAGAATTTTGGAGTGTTAGAGTCACTCTAATCAATTACTTATACACCCTAATTGTGGCGAGCTACCCATATCAATTGCCCTTAATTCAGAGTTAAGATTGTCCGATCGATTCTTATCGATTGCCCCTTTTCATGAATGAATTATGCCGATTGATTTCCATCCTATCTGGGTTACTATCTTTTGGTTCGAATTGCTTGAGTTGTGCGACTTTGATTGTATCAACACATAAGTCTTTTAAGAAAATCACAGCCACCAGAAGATCTGTCGTAAGATGGCTAACAGAAAGCAAATTGCAGTGGAAATCAAGAACATGCAGAACTCGCAGAAAAAGATCATTAGACAATTGAACAGACCCAATACGATTAACCGGTACCCCTGTGCCATTAGGGATAC